GGGGGGGGGGGGGGGGGGGGGGGGGGGGGGGGGGGGGGGGATGGTAGGCTCCTGAGTAGATTATAAATTTTTATATAATCTAACACTCACCAGAAAACACCATTCACAGCATATGAGAGCTGTGCATAAATAATTTCAGCAACAACAGAGTTGCCTTTGCATAAACACATTGACATATCGTTGCTAAACAGGCATTAAAGCATGACCACAGCACTTTTCTAATTTAAATTAAATGTCTCAGTACTTGCACCAGCTGAAGCACAGTGCTGCACTTCATCAGCACTTACAGACTTTACCGGAACTCACATCCTTACAGCCACAGGACATATTTAGACCTTACAGGGATTTAAAGATGTTAAAAAAAATGCTTTTGGGGCTTCATCAGGGGCCTGTAGAGAGCTAAATTAACCAGGGTTACCTATTCTGGTAATATCTCTGAAATAGCCACCTTTGCTAGAGTTTAAAATTTGTATTTTTCCTACACTGCCAGAAGCATTTTGTTTTCTACACAGCCATAATTTCCAGACCTAAAATTAGGATCAAGTTAACTCCACCCACAGCACTGAGGTACCTGACAATGGAAATCTTTGTATACCACCACACATTTTCACATCAGCGCCGAGGCAGATGATTTATAAAATGCTGCCGTAATTCCACACATGACAAATGCCATTTTGTTGGAAAAAGGAGTGAGGAGAAAACCTCCTGAATGTTTACCAGTAAAAATAAGCATTCTGCCAATTTAGTCAGCATAATATAAACTAGCAAATACATGCTGACCTATAATACGCCACAAGCCATGATTTCTATTAAAGACTCTGGCACCAAATCTAAATAGGAACTTTCCATCTCAGCTCTAAATAGCAAAAACTGTGCCCTGCTGCAAATGCTCTAGGACAGACATCCAGACCTCTCCTGTTCCAAAGAACCAAAGTGTTAATTGAGAAGCCCCCACAACTGCTCCAGTGTCACAGAGGAGCCTTTATCACAAAGACCTCTCATAGAAATAGTCTTCAGATCAGTAAACTTCTGCATTTTTAATTCAGCCTTTGTATTTTGCCAGTAGAAACCTTCACCTACAGAGTGTTCATATCCTAAACTTTAAAAGTAAACCACATCATACCAGTTCCTCTCTGCGAGGAATCTCCCTCATTTTTGTCTTTGAAAAAAATTAAGTTAATACCAATGTCAAAAGATAAAGCTTTCACCACCTAAAGTGAAACACTGATACTGTCTTCCCACCCACTTGCAATCACTCTTCTCCCTGCAGTATCTCTGATCACTTCTGAGGACTCCGATACAAAATTCCACTACAGCAATTACAAATTCCATGTAGGCACCTAACTCCTACTGACTTCTGAGCAACTCCTGACAGGAACACAGGCAATTTAAATATCCATGGAAAGCTAACTGGGGTGTTTACAAAAAACAAAAACCAAAAAATCTCTAGATGTTGTTCAATTGACTAAATTAGTCATTTTTTTTTCCCCAAACAGCAGGGAGTAGCCTGATATTAAATTACCACAATGGGATTTTTTTCTTTAAAAAAATAATAAAAATTTCCATTTCTTATACGGGTGGTAAGAACAGTATTTATATATTAGCATCCAGACTGAGTACGAAATCTGGTAAAAATGCTATTGCATGCTAGAAGAAAAACCATTTTAAAGAAATTTTGCAAAGAAAGGAATAGATTCTAATTAAAGCCTGTCAAATTTGGTAATGCATTTGCAGGGAACACCAAGGCCTTCAGTTAAACATACCAGAATCTGACCAGCACCATAGGGCCATTTGTTCAAAATTAATCAAACACCAACACCTTGAACTGGCGGAAGCAATGTGCAGGTTGGAGCAGTGTGTCTCTCACAGGACAGACTGACAGCCACCAGTGAGAGGGTTCAAGTGGCAAGTGCTCAGCATCTTGTACAGCCCATCCTGCCAACACCAGACAAGCAGAACAATGCCAAAGATGGGTCCAGACAGCAGGGTAAGATCAAGAGGAAAAATCTCTTTACATTGTTTATAGAGATAAACTGCTTATTCATATACTGAATTTGTACTGCACCATGAGTTCTCATGAGCCCTGTACATTTGATTAGGGCTAAAACTGCTTTTAATTTAAGATGGTGACTTCTTTCCCCACTACCTTCCTCCTTACCAAACTTGAATTTAAAGCAGAGAGGGAGAAACCACAAAGGAGACTACTGCCCCAAATGCTGCTTTAGGGACTAAATTTGTCTCCCCCAGCTGACCACACTCCATGGAAACCAGACTAGCATCACACAGCTGGCAAGACAACACTCTGATAGAACAACTGTGTTTTATAAAATTCCCCAAGTCCAAACTCCAGTCTTCAAAATTCATTACTGTGATGGCTTGTGTCTGCCCCGCAACTGAGAGCAGAGATAGCAAACACATTTATTGTGCCTCTCATAATGCTTCTCTTTGTCTCAGTCAGCAGCTGGTGTAAGGCACTCCAGATCTGCTGCTTTCAGATAGTTCTACTTACAACTATTCATACCAGTCCCTTCCCCCCCCCCCTCTTTTTTTTATTAAAACTGTTGGGCAACACGATAAAAAGCACAGACAAGCTAAACAAAGATAACACCGTGACGTAGTGTCTGCCTATAGAGCAGCAGCGCTCTCAGTTGACTCAAGTCCATGCAGTCAGCAAGAATGTTCTTTATTTTAACCACTTACCAGCCTAAACTGAAAGTGGTTCGAATTAACACATGCAAACTAAATGTTTGTCAAACCAGCATGGCTCTTTTCAGTCCTACACACCACCAGGACAGCTCTCTGTAAACAGTGGATCTCCAGCTCTGTTTGCCTTTCTCTCACAGCTCAGTCAGCAGGATCTGCATCCCTACCTGAACGTCCACGCAACACAAACATCACGACAGCAAAAGTCATGTTTTTACACGTGTGGATTTGATAGCAAGACACCAGAGAAGTCTTAAATGTGTCTGAGAACTCCAGGAGTTACCAAGGACTGGAAAAACCCCCCCACACACTATTTTGGCAGCTAAGCTTCCTTCCTCTGCCCCAGCAGCTCCATATGGGCTGCACGGAGCCATATCCTATCCCCCCTCCCAGCTTCCTCTCTCCTGCTGGCTGCTATTAATGCACAAAGTCTAAGCGTTAATTACCACCCAGAAATGAAAGGCTTCGTCTCTCCAGCTGAAGACTGACATGATACAGACCTTAAGACAGATTGAAATAAAACTCCTCGAAAGAAAATTCCAGCACTGCCCTTGCCCGTTTTATTTCTGTGTTCTGCATCTGATAAATGGATTTGTTCACGAGAGTAAATTCCCAACAACTTTATTAACTTTGGAAAAAAATTAATGAATTCCTCAGTTGTGGTGTTTGTCACCAAGACCTTGAAGGTCTTGGGAATTACCATGACCTCAGGCCACTCTATGAATTAATCAAATCATGGGCAAGAGCGTTTAAGAGACTTTAATTAATGGGCGTTACACTTTTAATTACCTTTTCCAATACCTGCAGACCAACTCTCAGTAGTAGAAGGAGCTGCCTCATGTTCCTAGGGCCAGATTCCCAGGAATGAATAGTACATGGAGATCTTCAAGGGCAGTTTTCTCTACTGATTCAAGACCAAAATTTACCTTTGTGACATATGAAGCACTTCTGCTGAAAAGCCAAGATAATCACAAAAGCAATCTATGTAGGAAAAGGATAATATAAAATGAAATTTATATTATTTTCTATTCCTGTATTCTAACAATCATGAGGAGATTAAATCACAGGTAGATTGGAATGAATTTATAAAATACTGTATGTTTTTTCCACTATCTTAAACACAGAAGTCAGTCTGTGTCAACATAAATTGGGATAAGTGGCAAAAAAATTCCAATTCATGTACAAAATAAAAAATCACATGATTTGAGATATCAAATACCAAGTAGGGAAGTCACCACAAATTACTCAATTCAACAAGTCATCAAAACAAGTTATCAAAACAGAAGAACTGCAATACAGCCCCAGAGAATCAATGTGCAGATTTTGGCAGCTGCCTAGTTAAGGTGTTACTTCACAGCATACTGTACAGCAAGAGAATTGATATGCCTAAAATTGGGAAATTCCCCAGAAATTAGATAT